GTTAGTTATACCTTGATAAGTCAAATTTGTTTTTCATCACAATAAAAAGAAGTTTTGCATTGTGTAAAGCACAAGTTTATTCAAAACATCATGGTTGTTGAATCTTGAATAAAAAATAATATCTTCTTCTAAATAACCCTAATGGACTATAGATCCAAGGCTCAAACCAAGCCCAGCAAAAACTAAAGCCTATAACATTTATTAAACCCCAAACAATTACTAATAGGCTATCATGAACCAAAATTGTATTAAAAGTTTAAACTAAAACTAAAACAAGCCCAAAATAATAAAAATAACACAAAACTCAATAATAAATATAGTTAATGAAACTAGCTTAAATAGCCCAAAGCAAACAAAGTAATCTGCTATAAAATGACAGAAACAACGAGTTTTGTATTGCTTCTCAATAGAACCAAATAGTAAAATACATCCATAATTACAAGGTTGATTTACAAATCTAACCTAGATAAATATGAAAACCAGATGTACAACTATATAATTAGTAAACAATTAGAATTCTATAATTAATGTGGTCTTAAATAATGCTAACCCGTATCCAACTAGGTTTGCCTCTCAAATTGATGTTGGTTAATCAATAAGTATGAATTTGCCAACCAAAAATTGCTGACGTTGTCAGGTTATAACCATGGTAAATATATCAGCAAGTTGAAGATCGGTGGAAACATGAGGAAGAGTGATGATTTGGGTATCTACGGCTTCCCAAATAGAATGACAGTCCACTTCATTATGCTTCGTACGCTAGTGAAAAACAAGATTGGCCACAATCTAAATGACACTCATTTTGTCTCCATGAATTAGAGGGGTTGAGCTAAGAGAAGCCAAACTCAACTAGTAAACCTTTTAGAACAAGCAACAGACATAGCACGATATTTGGGTTCTGTAAGGGGTTTGGATATGCGTGCCTACTTCTTACTCTTTCAAAAGATCAAATAGTCATCAAGAAACATACATAATCCTATAACAATGCGATAAGTATGATGACATCTAGCCTAAGCAGGATCACTAAACGATGCAAGACAAAGAGAAGCACTGACATGAAGGAATAACCCATGACTAAAAAAGAGATTGCATTCCTCACAATGATATATCTAACATTAACCTCCAAAGAAGTATCCACAAAAAGTATCCCAAAGCAAAGTAATCAAATCCCGTGTATATTAATGTTAATTCAAGAATATACTAGAGCAATCAGTGTGAACCTTTAACCTCAAGAAGTATGTAAGCAAACTAAGATCCTTTATATGAAAGGAGGCCTAAAAACACTGTTATAGTCCTCAAAGACAGAATTTGTTCTAATAATAACAATATCATCAATATAGATATAGAGAAAAACAATATTCATAAATGTCTTGCAAATAAATAAGGAAGAGTCATATTTGCTTTGCTAAAAGGAAAACTAAAGCAAGGTGGCTTGAAATTTGTCGAACCATGCTCGAGAAGCCTATTTCAGTCCATATAAAGAGTGCTTTAACTTATAGATATCCGAGGAAGAATTGGAGAGCAAACCAAAAGATAGTGTTATATAAACTTTCTTTTTAAGATCACCATGAGAAAGGTGTTTTTGACATCCATTTGATGAAGCGACCAACATTGTGAAGTAGCAATCAAAATAACATTTTGTACGATAATTATCCTAACAACTTGAGAAAAAATCTCCTTATAATTCACCACATACTCGAGCTTGTAAACAATAGCAACTAGTCGTGTTTTATATCAATCCAAAGTCCTATCAGAACGAAGTTTGATTGAGTAAACCCACTTATAACCAGTAGCTTTAATAGTCGTTGGGCAAGGAACAACATCCCATGCATGATTGTCCTTAAAAGCATGAAGCTCATTGACCATGGTATCTTGCCAACATTTATACTTAATTGCCTCGGAATAACACATAGGAATTGGAATAGATGAAAAGGTAGCATGAAAGGATATAGGAGAAAATCAATACCGATTAGAAAGACGCTAGAATGATGAGGAATAAGGCTAGAATCCAACTTAATCACAGAAAGCATTGTCTGAACAAGCTCAAATGATGAGCTGGGATTAGGAAGAGGCAATATAGACGTCGTCGTTCATACACAAATCCAGACAAAAATCATTAGGAGTAGAAAGCAAGTCATCAAAGCATGGAAAAACTAGTATCCCAAGCACAAATGCAACATGAGTGGGAAATAAATATTGATTTTGAAAGAAAACAATATGACGAAATAATCAAAATCTATTAAAGCATGAATCATAGCAAACATAACCTTTGTGGAAAATACTATAACCTATAAAAGCACATCTAATAGATTGATAAACAGTTTGTTGCTTTTATAAGAAGAGAAATGAACAAAACAAACACAACCAAAAGTATCTATGTCAAGTTAACGAGGATGTTGCTAATAAAACCAATAACAAGTCAAATTTAAAAAAACTAGAGGGTAATTTATTAATTAGATGGATTGTCGTGGATAAAGTTTCAACCTAAAATTTAGGAAGAACATAAAATTCAAGAATTAAATATCAGGTAACATCTTGCAAATGATGAATTTTATGTTTAACAATACCATCTTATTAAGGTGTATAAGGACAAGAATGCCAAGAGACAATGTTTTTTTGGTTAAGAAACTCGCGAAATTCATAAAACATATATTCTCCACCTAAATTAAACCTTAATCAACAAGGATTGAAGTGTTATATCACTTCAAAATCTTCTAGAAATCATTGAAGAGAAGAGGTTTAATTGGTTGACTCTTATCCTAGTTCATCATATATGACTCAGACCATCAAAATAAAATTTGATTAATGATTTATGGAGAGAAGAAGATGACATTAAAAAATAGTAATTGTGGTGGTATAATAGCTAAAATATTAACAAAATTAAAGTTGAAACAAAAGAAAATTAAGCTTTAGAAAATTTAATAGGTTAAAAAACAAAAAATCTTTTAAAAAATAACCATTACATCCTGTTATATTACTTGGAACCTTAAATCCTTATAAAAAAAAAGGATGGATATTAGCTTGAAAAGCCCAAATTTAAAAACCAGTTTTATTCGAGCTCAACGTATTCGAGTCTATCTCTCAAGGTGTTTGGGTTTAGGTTAACCCTCTAGGAACCCACTAACTCGAGCCCATAACAACTCAAGGGGAAGCCTGGTCCCTAAACACACTTTATCTTTATGGATTCGATTTGGCTTGGCCATGCCCACCAATACGAGCACTTGAGGACTCAAGATTAGGCTTGGAACTCACCAACCTGAACACACTCTATCTTAGTGAATTCAGGTCAGACCTGCTCGAGCCCACCATGTTAATGTCATGGGTTCGGGTTAGGCCTCGAGGAACCCAATTTCCTCGTTTGATTTTCTCTGATATTGAAGTCAACCCGTGTCCTCCATTCCTTGTAAAGATAATGCTACCATTTAATGTTAACATGATCCTTTTACTGTCATGGGATCCATAAAACGACGTTATGCCTTGCTTATGCCAAAACCACTAACCTAAATGTCACATTGTCCATAATAATAGAATTCATTATGCATGATTACCTCTAAAAAGTAGATTACACAATCTACCCCTCACCACCCCTTCCGCCATATAAATTCACATGATTCAAGGATATTTGAAATGACCCAGGAATCACTAGTCATGTCTTTGAACTCATTCTTACTCTAAAAACACACATAAAACAACATTTCTCCTTCCTTTCATCTTCTACATTTAATACATACCACACATAGTTTTTACAGCTACAGCCCTCTGATATTTGTGCTAATTTAAATATTGAAGATCCTCTAGAATACATAGAAGACTTGTTTTACAAGATTTCATGAATGATTGGTCCAATTCTTCAACTTCAACCTCTAAAGCCAATCAACTAACTCTTAATCCCTTGAAGTTTGCTTCAGGCTTCATAAAAAAGATTCACTTCACATGACTTTTAACAAATTAAATACTCGACATTAATGTCAAAAGGATGAAAATAAACTACTTTTAAAGGTGAATTGTGCATCAATTATATTATATTTTATACTCTTGCACGCATCGGAACTCCTCCTTTTGAGCATCCCAGGTAAGCTTTAGATGTTTTTGGTGTTCACGTTTGGTCTCGTGTACCATACATAATGAAAGATCAGAAATTTTATACACCTTGTAATCCTGAACACAATTTGTACGTCATAAAAAACAAGATTGATTTGCACTTTCATATTATTATTCTATTTTGGTTTAAGGTTGGTTACTAGGGTGTGATAGTCATAGGTTTTTTTTTTTTTGAGAAAGATGGGACGTTTAAAATGGTGAAATAGTACAGTGAACAGTTAAAGGAAATAAAAAAACATATGTTGTGGCACGGGAAGCATAAAAAAGGCAATACAAATTCGCAATAAAAAGATTGGCCACTTATCTAAGATACTAATAGTTTTATACTATTTACCACACTTATAAAATTGATTGTTTTTCAGTTTAAAAAATTAATCGTTATAATAGGTTAATATCAAAAATAAATTTTAAAAAATAAAATAATATTATTTCAATTTATTTTCAAATAAAAAAACAAATATTTTTAAAATAACAAACGGACTCTAAATATAATAATTTAGACCCATTAACTTAACACCTCAAACATTGTAGTAGAGCGAAAAAACAAAAGGGAACAACTGTTTAAGACTGTATTTTATGTGATTTCCATAACAAACTTGATAGTAAAGAATCAAATATTGCCTTATGGAATTGACCATTCATAAACACAACGATTATCCAGTAAATTAGAAGTCATAAAATATTGTTAAACGATAAGACATCCGATGAAGCTAACGGCCATGTCCAATTGATTAACTTTGTACACTATGAAATGGATACATCTCAATGGTACAGAATCAACCATTTATAAAAACTATAATCAAATTAAAGCAGCAACACAACAGTTCAAACTTCAAAAGTGAACTTTGCTAAACACTGTACGAACACCAGCAAAAAGAACATAATTCTTGAGTACTTACCTAAAAGCGAAAAGCATCAGGCGCTTCCATCCAGCTCCGTTGCCACCCTAAAATATCTTCTGCAAATGTTCCAAAATATCAAAAAAAAAAAAAGGGTATGCACCAGTCAAAACACAAAATGCTACTCGATTATGGTGAAAAAAAAGATGAAACAAAATCATAATTTTTCGTTTAACTACCGATATAATATCATCAGAAACGAAAGCACAAATTTAGGGTTTGCAATGCGTGTGTAATTAATGGCGTCAATAGTTTAGGTCTTTTGCTTATATTTCTTGGAGTTTCTCATCAACCAAACTGATCGATACATTTTGTTGATCCGATGCAACACATGCCGACGGCAACATTGAAAAATCACAGATAAGAACAAAATTAATAATAATTTAAACGGCAACTTACTTTGAAGAAAGCAGCATTTAATCGTAAATGTAAAGCTTACAGAGGCTATAAATAGTTTAGAAAAGCCAACTGAACAGTCTAGATTGGAAAGGGAAAGGTATTAAAATCAGAAGAGGAAAATAAATAGAGGAAAATCTGTGGGATAATCGGAGGGAAACAATAAAGAGAAATTTGAAGGAGATTCTAAGAAATCTGCTTCATTTGAGGAGACATGAAAATTTGGATGGAAGAAGAGCGAGTAGAGAGAGACATTAGTAGAGAGGGAGGGAGGGAGGGGGACGAAAATATCTGTGGAATAAGAAAATATTTTATAGTATGAGGTAATAGGAGAGCAGATTAGGGATGCCCCCACCCGACCTATCATGAAATCAAATAATCCAGTACTATTTAGTCTTTACATTCTTTTTTTTTCTAAAAATAAAAATAAAATAAAAACAAATTCAAATATATTAAGGTTTGGATGCTCCTAGATTGGCTTTTCTCCGTTTCGGGGACCAATGCTTCTTTTGTTTTTTAACTGTGACCAGCGCATTAGTTCAGTCCGCTTTTCTTCTCGGCGCATTATTATGATGTGCAAAAGGCTAGGTATAATCCAATGTTTCTAGATTTTATTTTATTTTATTTTTTATAATGATTTGAAAACTTATGTTATGAAACTGAGATTATAAGAAATTTAAGTGATAAATCAATTTTTAAGAAAATATTTATGTTTTAATAGAAACTTGAATGCAAAATTACATAAAATAAAGGTGTTTAAATCAATAGTTTGAGATAATTTTATAATATATGATGATTAAATAAAATATTAACAAATAATATAAATAACTAAATAAATGCTGTTTTTATTAAGTACCTTTATAGGACATTATAATTAGTTTTGATTCAAAACTATTAATAAATTAAATATTTCTTTATCGATTACACAAAAGAAATTCAAGGCATATGAAAATCTTATGTATATTAATTGTTAACATTATTGTATATATTTTATGCACTACCTTTTCAATTTTTTATATGAAAAACTTGCTTTTATTTTTATTATTTGAGCGTGGGAAATTTTAAATCTTTTTAAAAAAATCACACATCAAACATATGATAATTAAATACACGTGGAAGTGAGATTGAAAGATGATGAATTCACATAATATTTTGAATAGTTAAAGAATGGATTAAAAATTATATTTTTTCATCAATTTCTTTTCTAATTTTGAATTATAAGATAATTATAGGTATTTTTTTTAGAGTCAAAAAATCATTATAGACTTCAAATTTATATTTTCAAATAGAAAATTAAAAAAATATTTTATTTATATATTCTCTGAAAATTCTCTAATTGTGCTTCCCTTTCTGAACATAGGATTAACAAAGTGAATTTTTGATTTGTAGGATCAAAAACATTAAAAGAAAAGAAAGGTAAAAAATGCAAGCCACCGCCCAACAGTCAGGAGCCTTAACTAAGAAGCCGCTGTTTTCAAGCCGTTTAGAGAAGCGTGTAGCTGACGCAGGTAGGCTATTCAAGTGCCCAAGCGAAAGACAGTTGGGCAAGCAACCGAAATTACGTGTCACGCTTGTAATCAGCCACGATGATCAGGTACGTCTTTTGAAGGATTAGGTCGTACAGTGTCTCTCTGAACTAGTAAAAAAAGAACACGTAGCTGTCCTATTCTCTAATTTAGTTTTGGAAAAAACTCGAATCTTATAGACCCATGTCTCTATTCTTTCTTTTGGAGGTATCGGGCACTCCCCCGCCCGTCACAGACACGTGTCCACCAATATACCTTTGTTCTATTATTCGATCTTTTTTTTTTGCATTAAAATGTCCTAAAGGGCATGGGATATTTTATGATTTGAGCAAAGTGAGGTTACTCTGCACCCCGTAGTCCAGATGCTTTGCAAGGATGAAGTGAAAAGAAGAGTACTTTTTTTCTTTCTTCTAGAGAAGCCTGTCATCCATTAAAAGAGATAAGAGCAGGTCCGTGTATATCATATTTATTTTTGTCACGTGAATATCAAAATATATAGCAACTACCTATTTCATCCGACCTCCGTCTACTTTAAATATATTGTTTTTTAAAAAAAATACAGGATTTTTAATATATTTTTTAAAAAAATATTAAATATAAATTAAAAAATTTAAAGGTATATTTAGTTAAATAAATTGAGAGTCATTTGTGCTAATAAATAATAATAAAAAATAATTAATAATAACAAAAAATAAAATTAAAAAAATCAAGAGATAGATTTAAATTAAAATATTTGAACTAAAAACACATGTCATTTGTTATTTTATATTTAATGACTTTTTTTACTATAATTTATTTTTTATTTAATCAATTAATGATAGAAATAGATACATGCATGAAATCAATTAAATAAAATTAAAGAAAAAATATTATATAAGGTTGTGCATATTAAAAAATAATAATATCATTTTATATAAAAAAATGATATTTAAATAATAAAATGAAAAGTTAAGAGATAAATATAGATGTGAATATTTGATCTCAAAATATATTTTATAGATTGGATTGCATTTAATAACATTATTTATTATAAAAAGATTTTATTTAATAAATCAACAATAATATATATAAGTGATTTAATTAAATTAAAAAGATAAAAAAAAATAGATTACACATCAAGAATCCCTTCTAATCAGGAAAACAAAATAAGTGTATTGGTAAACAAAATAAAAATAAAAATATATTTTATTTTATTAAAAAACATCATAACAATTTATAAAAACTAAAAAAAATTAGAAAATTCAATAAGAATCCAGCACTTAAAGATGAAATTAAAAAGGACAAAAAAACCAATGAAAAAAAACTAGAATTTTGAGTTTTTCAAGGAGCTAAAATTTTAAGTTTGACTAATTTTGCTCTTAAATTTTAAATTTTGCTAGTTTTATGTAGCGGATTGTCATATATTTTTTTGGAAAAGTATGGGGACTCTTAAACTTAAAAAAATAGTAAAAAAAATTATAGAAACATGTATTCATGTAAATATAAATTAAAAAATTATTTTAAAAATATAAATATTAAAAAAGTTATCAATAAAAAAAAAAAGTTAAGCGCTGACAGACCTAACCCATTTTAAAAAGGCATGCCTGCACTTCTGCCATTATATTTTTATTTGGTAACAAGACAAATAACATTTCATTTGTCCTAACAAAATTTTTGAAAATAAAATAAAATAAACACAAGAGACGTGTTTTTTGTATTTTCTTAAATTCAAATAAAAAGCTTATATATAACTTCAAACCCGCCTAAAAAATTCAAAAACCATTAAAATAATATAAAATCAACCTAAAACTATAAAAATCTCTTGAGATCAAATCTACAGCATAAAGTAGATTGAAAGGCTAAGAACACTTAAAATAAACACTCCTTGTTAAATGAAACTCATAGACATCAAAATAGACTTTATCTCTATCATTAGAATCTAACCACTTTATCTCTTCTAACTCAAATCATAAACTAAAAAATAAAAAAAAAATTAAGTTTTTAAAAAATCAAAGGATCGAAACTTTATAATGTGAAAAGTATGAGGACTAGAGTGAACTTTTTATGTCATTTTCTAAACTACCCTCCATCTCCTTTATGTTTTTCACCTTTAAAAAATCAAAGGATCGAAACTTTATAATATGAAAAGTATGAGGACTACAATGAACTTTTTATGTCATTTTATAAACTACCCTCTATCTCCTTTATGTTTTTCACCTCAATCCTATTTTTTCAATCCGTCCTTACTCAACAAATTTGAAGTAATTAGGTTTCAATTTAGCCCCTATAAAATGCTACTAGTGAAAAATAAAGTTTAAAGACCCAAATGAAAAGAAAAAATATGGTCGAGCAGGTCCAGAGTAAAATGCAAGAGTGTGAATAATGTTTTTTTACAGTAAAAAAATTAGTTAAACACAACAACATTAAAAATATACTTCAAACAATTTTAAACCCTTAGCCCCAGTTTCCTTCATTTTTGCTCCTTGTTTTCTCTTTCTCTCTCTATTATAGTCATCACTCACACCCATCGTTATTGATAATCATTTCTTTCTTTTTCAACTTTAAAACACCTTTACATCTATCATGAGACTACCCACCATTCTCGATAGTCATTTCTTTCATCCTCAACCTTAAAGCACCTTTACATCAACTGTAAGACCACCCATCTCATTTTCCATCGTAAGTTAGGTGTCTTTTTTTCAACCTATAGGTCTTTTGCTAAGATTCAATTGTTATCGCCACCACCATTCACCATCACTGTCGTATTTAACACTTAGATGTGTATTACACATTTACCCTTTATCAATTTGATATAATTTATGTTAATTGTTGATTTAAAAAATATCAGGGTTTAGAATTAGGGATTTTTAATTAACTATAAAATATATTAATTTGAGTTGTTGAATCTTTTTTTTTAAAGAAAATCAATTATTCTATATTGTTTTCAAATGTTAATTAAGGTTACATTTAGGTTTTTATGTTAAATTAATGATTTGGTTGAGTTAGATACAAAATATGTTATTTACCTATAAAATACATCAACAGGGCTGATAAATTTGTTATAATATTTTTATTATAGGTTTTCACTAATTATGTTATCACTAAGGTTTTGTTGACAAATTATATGTCTTGATTAACCATATAATATTGATAATTTAGGTTTGAGTTTTGTTATGGTATTTGACAAAATATCTAGCAATATCCAAATAATATGCATGTATAATGGTTTCATTATAATATCAATAATAGTAGCACTTGTAATGGAGGAAGTATTGGGTTCTTAACTGTTATATTATCCATGTCTCTTAACAAGCTATCTAGAATATTATGTGATTGACTTGACTAGAATATGTTGAAAATTAAAATTGACTTATTTAAAGGATAAAACAAATCAAGTTTAGTCTATCCTGTCATGTCGGTTTACCTATTAATAATAGTTGAAGTGTGAATTCAATATTTAGGTTTCCAAGCATTAGTGTAATGAATATGCAAGAGCTCTACTCTAATAATATACATATACAAGGAAAGCTATCTAGTATGGAGTTGACTTAGGTTCCAAATAACATTCAAAGAATCACATAAATATTATGGTAGTTGGTTCATCTATGTTGGGTGATAATGAAAATAACCAAATGTTGACATAATAAATTGTTGATAAAATTTGCTTCATATTATTATGAAGAATTTGAATCAAGTATGAATGAAAATGACCATTTAGAGTTAAGGAAGAGGGTAAGATGAGGATTTTGAGGTAGTTGAGCCATTAAATTAATTTGTAACCCCTCGTACTCCTAGA